TGGCTCGGAATGAGAAATTTGAGAGCTGAGTTCGAATCCAGTCTAGTTATTTACACACACTTCCCTCAGGAATGGCATAAATACATATCTTCTCTCAGCTATCTGTTAAAAAGTATGGCAAACCGGGCACTTTAGCCATGGTTGGCAACTAGTCTCGGAGAAAGATAACTCAGAATCTGTTTGTGGACATCGTAGTACCTTTATATTCACTGTATTCATTTATTCCAAAAGATATGGAATTTTTGCATATGCCTCCACCTCTATAGTCAAATTATATTTCTTGGCAGTTCGACTATTCATTTTTTAGGAGTTGACTTGTTGGACAAGAATGTCTATATCACCCATGTACAAAACACACATGCTCACACACACACGCGCGCACATACATACATATATAAGTGTATAAAAATTCAGTAATTAAAATATATCTGTAAAAAGACAATATGAATAAAGACAAAGGAAAAACTTTTCTTTACCAACGTGTTTCGTCCACTGATAGAGTTTATGAAGATAAATGTCAGAATTTTATGTTACAACAAATATATATATATATATATATATATATATGGAAGAAGTGAGAGTGAGAGAGGAACAGTATTGCTATAGTAGTAAGTAATTTAAGCTTGTTTGATGTTTGATAATTTAATTCGATAAATTACCTAGCGCCTCCGGACACGTTGCAACTTTTGCATTCTTGTGACGCATCTCTGAATCACCATCTTTTGCCGAGCAGTAGAGGAAGAAGTTTTTCACAAAATATTTGATCATTGGGTCAGGTGTTACAAGTTTAGTCCTGCCGAGAATTCGCCTCACTTTAGTCAGTAGGTCATAAACTGGAAAAGGAATTTCAAATAAATAGTAGAGTTGTTTTTGCAATGGCTGTTTTCTTAGCCCGGTAACTCTGGATTTGTAAAAGTAAGTTAATGTAAATGGTGGATAGATAAATATATGCATGTGTGCCCGCGCATGGAGGTGTAAGTACATATGTATGTAGATGTGTGCGTCTGTGTGTGTGTACATGCATGCACAGAAAAATATTTTATGGAATTTCATTTGCTTAAGCGTATAAGTAAATGTAAACTTAGTAAGAATATCGCATATTTTTCAAAGGCTTCTGGAAGTTGTAAGAATAATTTTTGCAGAAGCATAGGTGCTAAAATAGGAATGTGATAGATATGGGTTTGGTAAGCGTGTAGGTTTAGTTAATGGATTAGTAATGTTATGGGATTAGTAATTTAAAACGAATGAAACATTAAACTATGCAAGAAAGAGACAAGCTCACCGAGTTAAGAATCCAGGGGAGATAACTCAAATCGAAACCAGAGGAAGTAAAAAGACACCAGTATATAGGAGGGAAGCGTGAAAAGCTTTTTTCTTTGTCTGACGCTGACGGAAGTATTTATAAACGGTCGGACTCTTGATTATGTCGGTCGTTATAATTTTTGTAATAGCAACGTGCGTAGCACAACGCTTTCAAGGAGGCGGCCTAAATCCTCCGGAGTCAGATCGGGGTTGCTGTTTGCGCCGATAGGATGCAAAACCCGAAATCGACAATGAAGACAGTGCAGCACTGAAGACCACGCTTAAAGCGTCTAAAATTATATATTATGCAACTATATATATATATATATATATATATATATATATATATATATATATATATATATATAAATATAATTTAAATAAAATTTAAATAAAAAGCAGACCACTTTAAGGTTCCGTGTAATAAATTATTTCACCACAGCCCTTTTAAAGGACTGCGGATCATCAGACTTTACTTCCAAACAAAAAAATGAAAAGAAAATTTACATTTTTGACGGGCCGTATTAAACATATGTAAATTAACGAGGTGAGGGAAGTGAGGGGGGAGAGAGAGAAGACATGAGTGAGTTAGCAGATATTGACACATTTAAACGGTTAACTTAACGGAAGTTATATATTGATATCGAAGGGGTAGAGAAGAAAAAACCCATAGAGAGAAAAAGAGAGAAGGAAGTTAAGAGAGAAGATGTCACTAATTTTCTTTGTAAAAAAAGGCTAGAAACAGACGCTGTTATTTTGTTTTACTTTGAAAGTGTTATTTTGGGGGTTCATAAAGATTATAATGTTTGATATAAATTTGAATGTCTCTGGACTGTCTATAAATAATTTAATTTGATGTTTGTTAGTGATTTAATTTTTTTTTAAATTTTGGGGATTTTCTCTGAAGTAGTCGATTAGAAAAATATTCATAGAAAGTACAAAATTTTATTTTAAAATATAAGTTTACTTCTAGTAATCATTTTTTAAATCTCATCAGTTGAGCTCTCTGGATTTTATCCTCCTTAGGTTTACCCATACGGATTACCTAATTTTCTCCTATATATATATATATATATATATATATATATATATATATATATATATATATATATACTAATAGTAGTACTCAGTTGGTAAAAACCTCGGATGGCACAGCTTGCAAGTATATCAAAACAAATTGGCACCTGAGGAAAAATTGCAAAAAAAAATTACCCTAAAAAATCTGTTTAGGTGAAAACTAGATAAGTTTTCCTGGCTCTTTATATATATATATATATATATATATATATATATATATATATATATATATGTGTGTGTGTGTGTGTGTGTGTGTGTGTGTGTGTGTGTGTGTAGTGACAGTCAAAATATTGACCACTTGCGATACCACTCTTATTGACAAATATCTTTAAGTTATTTGAATGTTGAGGATTCCTCTGAAGAATTTGTAGCTTAAGTTTCTTCCACAGGTTTTCTCTAATAATTTGGCGAGTCGACCGCTGAGTTCACTAAAGTTCTTACTTTCTTCACCTCTGACCAGGTTTTCATTTTTATTGCAAGATGCTTGGGATCTTTACTTACTTGAAATATTTTGCTAACCCGTAGTTTGAGAAATTTAAATGCTTGAATCATGTTCTCTTTTATTTCACAATAAATATCACTATCCAATGCTCTTTCAATATGCTATACCTCCACAAGAATGTATCACTATAGGAAAGACAAATCCAAATTATTATTACTTCTGTGAAAGCATTTCTCTCTCGGGATGATATCTTGGCGTCATATGACCAGTCTCGAACTGCTTCCGAAAGAAAGTTTGATATTAATCTTGTCGGACTGATATTCTTGTTCTCAGTTACTCGAGATGCTGATGATGGGTAAACTGTAGATGAGCCTTCATGCTTATGGACATTAGCAAAGGTGCCTTTCTAGAAATCCAGACTAATTACTTGATCACTTCTCTATAAGCTGCTTACAGATGCTTCTTTAGTTCTCCTCAGGTTGTGAATGACTTGTGTGTTCCAATAAATGAATCTTGCTGCTCATTCACTTCATGAGAATCTCTTTTTCAATACAGATTGTTAGTAAAGGTCATGTTCCTTCCATGTTTGAATGATTGCTCTAATTATATTGATAGGGATCATGAGTTTGTTGGAGATCTTTTGTTTTCCCATTCTGCAACTATGATGTTCAATAATTATTTCATGAAATTCTGTAGAGAGTTATTTTGTCTTCGCCATTTGGGAGACCTTTTCATTTGCCAGTTAGATCCTCAAGGCCTTTTCAAAGTACACATAAATATTGTAAGTTGTCAGTTGTGATGCCTGGCATATTCTGATTGGTTGACAGAAATTTCCTAACTAATAATTTGCATAAAAATCAATCCTAAACTGTAATTTTTATCCTGCTTCATTTATATTTTTTGGAATGTGTCCAAAGTTTTTGCATGTTACTTTCTGCTGTATTTGTCAATAAATTTATGTGTACACAAACATTTGTTATTTTGCCTTATGCATAGTGTATTCTAAGTATTTATTAGATTTAACTAGCAACAAATTGTTTGATTATTAGTTTTGTTAGACAATAATATTTTGCCCAGAATTAAGGTTTCTTGAAATGATGATGGATAACCTGTAGACATTTCTTCCCGTGCAGATTGACAGTAAAGGTAAAATTACTATCATTTTTGAATGATTTCCCTCATTGTATTGATGTGTTGCAGATTTGAATCAACGCACAACAAAGAAAAGAACAAAAAGGGTTCTTAAATATAAAACAATAAAATATTTGTATTTTCATGCTTTTACAACTAAGTTTTTCTCAGCTTGTTAAACTTCTTGTGTTAAAATTCCTTGTTTGTAGTTGTTTGTTAAGATGAAAAGAAACCTGATTTCCTCGCGTGCATGTGTGAAAACAAGAGGCACGGGAGAAACTGAGGAGGAATGTGTAGGTCTCACCTAGTTTGGTAAGGAAGTGTTCAAGTGTCACGTAGCTCGTTGAGGAAGACGGGTGAACGAGTAAAGAAATTTCTGTTAAGCCCTGGTGTCGTGAATCTTCTGCAGTAAGTTGCCACTCCTTACTGGCTTTGTCCGTCAACAGACTTCACTTACATACACTTCAAATGGATCTTGAAGCATGTTTTCTTTGTCGGTGGGAAAAATATTTCTTTTCAAAGGATTAATTTATTAACAGGAAGGATGCGCATATACTCCAACTCAGAAGCCATTTTTTATCATTTGATGATTGACTGTTTTGGTGTTCATTTCTGTCTTCGATGCGCAGATGGGAATCTTGAGTGTTTCGTATCTTTCGATAATCTTTTTACGAAATTCTGGAAATATGCGCGAACGCGTCTAGGGATGAATAGAGGTCTGACTAAAGGTACAAGTTCCAGCAATCTTGCTTCAAAATAAATGAAGCTTGGTTTGATTATTTAATAAAATGAAACCATATCCTTCAGGAGCCTTTCGAAATATCACCGGTAACTACAAATATAGACTGACAAGTAGGGTGATTGAGATGAAATTTAAAAAACCGTCTGTTTACAAGCATCAGGATATAGTACATGCAAATAAACGTGGTGATTGTATAAGGCCATTCTCATCTTATTGACGAACGCTTTTCTACACAGAAAATTTGAATTGCAAATCAGACTCTCGCTGTTTGCAACACTAAAAATGTTGTTATTGTAGGATTCATCATTATGGATAGAAAATCACCGGTATTGATGTGAATAGAATCGAACTATTTACTAAATAGGAAGAAAGGACAGCACATTTATCGATACAAACAGGGAGAGAGAGAGAGAGAGAGAGAGAAACAAGGAGAGAGAGAGTGATAGGGAGAGAGAAATACAGAATTAGAGAAAGAGTTAGCAAGAAACATATACAGTCGGGGGTGGAGAAAGAAAAATTGTTGATTGTAACAAAAAGTGTGTTATATACATGCATAAAGACAGATGTGAACAGACTGAGAGAGTAGGATAGACTGATAGATGGACAGATAGATGTGAATAGACTGAATTAGATATATAGGTGAGAACAAACTGCGATAGATAGATAGATAGATAGATAGATAGATAGATATGAATAGACTGAGATAGATAGATGTGAACAGACATAGATAGGTAGATAGATAATGATGTTACTAGAATGAGATAGATAGAAAGATACAGAAATAGAATTTTATAATTTTATAATATAGAAATAGAATACCATAATTTTCTTTTAATAGAAATTTATAAAAGATATGCTGATGAGATAGATAAATAGATAATTATATGAACAGAATGAGAAAAAAACCCCAGAAGCATAGATATCAAATGAATTAGATAGATAGATGGATAGATACATAGAGTGAGAAGTCAAAGTGAAGAGCGATAGAAGTAAAATATAAAAGAGGGAGGTAAGGAGAGAGAGAGAGAGAGAGAGAGAGAGAGAGAGAGAGAGATATTGAGCGGTCGGCAAGATCACGCGGAGGAACGAATGCAACGAATCAGCAAAAAGCTATTGGTAGATAATATAAGAAAGCGATGCATTATTTCCAGTAAGATTTTACCGTAACATTTTATGAAAATTCATTAAATAAATGGCCTTGGCTTCGATATATGCAATTTCTAGGAACCGATGGCTAAGAGAAGAGTATTGGATGAAGTCAAACACGGGCCAATCTGAAAATATCAGGTCTCGAAACAACTTCCGGTATCGAAAATTCTCCCATTTCCTCAACATGACCTTTCATTGTGTCACTTCTGCAGCTTAATCACGACCATAACATTCCAGAAAATTCTCGTTCATATTTCTTTGTCTAGAAAAAAAAATCTATTTTTCGCAATCTAAACCATGTCCAAGTTTTAGCAATTTATAATAAAGAATTTCTTTAGACAACAACTAACCAGATAAGTTTGTGAGCTCGACATATTCCGTTTTATTTCTGTATGAACTGCTCAAGGTTGCTTGATATCTAACTCGACTTTTTTTTTTTTTTTCTTGCTGTAAATTCAAATATTATTGAGAATGACTATCTTGCCTTAAATGTTTTTATTCAGCATGGCGGCAGACAAGTAATAATATTTCCTCCCCTCCCCATCGAGGTCAGATTGTGACACAAGGTCGGTTTAATGTGGGGAGCTCGAGCGCGTACACCCGGGCGAGGAACAAAAATTCCCGAGCCCCCGCAATCGTCGGTTGCGTTGGCCTCACTGTGAGCACCGATCCCCCTCTTATTCGTGGAACGAGAGGGCGCGGCCTCGGGCAGCTGTTTCTCAGGGCCGTCACAGTATAATTTTTCATCAGTTGCACTCTGCCCAAAAGACAGAGACGCAACTGAGAGATGATAAGTAATGTATTACAAACTACGAGAGAGAGAGAGAGAGAGAGAGAGAGAGAGAGAGAGAGAGAGAGTAATTTACACACAGACATGTAATAAGTGCAAAAAGAAAATCACTTTCAAGTCGTATGTAGATTGCGAGATACCAATGTTAAAAACTTCCGAAATAATACACGATGTAAAAAATTAAAAAAAAAAAAACGTTTTTTTTTTCAATAAAAAGGAGATAAAAAAGACCACCTTCACGAATATTAAATTCAATGGTGTAGACTTAAAAATGCGAGTTGACACTGGAAGCGAAGTGACCCTTATTTCGAAGAATTTTTGGGAAATTATCAAAACCAAAATTAAAGAAATTAAAGAGATTAAGTTAATTTGATGGAACGTGTATAAAAATATTAGAGTCCTTTCAGGGCACTTTTGAAACAAAAAATAGATTCGAAACCGTCGCTATTATGGTCGTAGACTGTATAATTAGTTACGATTTAGTAGGAACTGATTTGATAAATATTAATAGCAAATGTTTACTTAATACTATGAATACATGAATCTCGAAACTGGGACATAAAAAAGTATAAAGCGAGCTTTAATTTAAAAAGAAAATTCAATCCATCGCATTTTGAAAGCCGCAGGTTTCCCATTCATATAAAGTCAGTGGTAGTTGATAAGACGTGAAAAATGGTGGAGGAAGCCATTTTTCAATATGGAGAACCTGGAGGCAGCAAATGGGCATCGCCTATTGTAGTTTTAAGAAAACCTAATGGGGATTTTATAATTTGTGGAGATTATAAAGTAGGCGTAAATCATAAGATTTGTTTGGATTCCTACCCTATTCCAAACATAGAAAGCCATACTACATTCTCTGGCAGGAATGGAATATTTTAGGAAAATTGATTTAAAAAAGGCGTACCACCAAATTCAAATAGATAACAAATTTAAGGAAAATCGCAACAATAAACTCTCCATAGGCTTATTTAGATATTTTCTATGAAATTTCTCGGACATTCAGGACGGTAAATGTAGTTAATATTGTCTATTATAAACAGATTTTACGTAATATTTGTATCTATAAAAATAAAGTAAAACGCTAATCACTTAAATCGTAACGTAAGTCAATCTTATAAATACTTGTGAAATTACACACACACACACACACACACACACACACACACACACACACACACATACACACACACATGGGGAAACGATATATCAATTTTAATTGCAATATCTTCCACAGTAAATTTATGTAGAGGTTCTTATAACATTTTAATTTCTTGACAGTTCTTTCTTGGCACACTAATATCTTTTCCACTTTGTCATAGATTTTCCTAACACACACACACACACACACACACACACACACACACACACACACACACACACATATATATATATATATATATATATATATATATATATATATATATATTACGAAACAGTATAGATAAAGTACTTGTTTGATAAAATGCTTTGGAACTCTCCGGGAAGTGCTCTAAATTTCAACACGTAATTCTCTCCTTTTCTCGTCCCCTCTTTCTTTCTTTCTTTCTTTCTTTCTTTCTTTCTTTCTTTCTCGCTTTGTCACTCTCATATATATTGGCAGATGTTGAGTGATCTACGGATGTTCACAGGTTAGTTCGTCGTCCACTCGATTGTACGCAAGATCGTTTGAATTGTTTAAGCTAACATTCTGATTTCAATACATTTTCTTATTCTGTTACTTTGCAGATCATAATCGAAAAATATTGAAACTCAAAAGATATTCTTCGTAAATCATTTATTAATGAGGTACATTGATTTCGACCATGGCACATTCCCTGGCTTCTGTTAATGAGGTATAGAGATCAAGAACATTGCACCGTCACTGGACTCGCTTTACTACGTAGATTGATATGGATCATATTGTTTTCACTAATTTGTCTTAATAAGGACTGAGCGATCAAGAAAGCCAAGATTACGCTAATTTCATTAATAAGACTGATCGATTTATCATGATGCTTTCACCAGTTACAGCTAATGAGTTAGCTTGATCTTGAGCATTTCTCTGGTATCTTTTAATGAGGTATATTGATCAAGAATATGATTCTTTCACTGGCTCCACTTAATAAAGAAAATCGATCTCGATAATGTCACTGTCACTCGTTTCTCTTAATGAGGTCGATTGATTATACTTGCACTGTTTTCTCTTAATGAAGTAGATCGATCGGTAGCATTATTTTTTCATTAGCTTCTCTTAGTGAGGTAGATCGCATTGAGACACGGCGCTTTCACCAGTTTCTTTTAATGAGGTAGATAGATATGATCATGGTGCGTTTACTACTTTCATTTATTGAGCTATATCAATATGGAACATGACGCATTCACTGGTTTCCCATAATGAGGTAGACCGATTTAGAACATGATGCTTACAATGTTTTCAATTAATGTGGTAAATTTATCTAGAAAATGATACATGTTATTGAGGTAGTTCCAGTTCGACTGTGAGGTAGCCATCGTTTCTGATAGTGAAGAAAATCGATTTCGAACTTCATGATTCTTCTGGGGTCTGCTAAGGAGGAAAATGCTGCATTCATTTTGTTTTCCTTTAATGGGGTACATTAATATGGGCTATGATTTGCTAACACGTTTGTCTTAGAGAGGTAGATCGATTTGGTTCCTGATGCATTCACCAGTTCCCTTTTATGCTGAATATCGATTTGTAACATGATATCTCTGGTTACTCTTGATGAGGTTGATCGATCGGAAACATCCCAATTTAACTGGCTTCTCTAAATATGGTCGATCGAGTTGCATGCACCCAGAAGTTTCTATTAATGAAGTTGGCTGGTTTGGATCCACGAGGCTTTTCTGGTTTCGTTTAATGAGGTAGAATACTTTGGAACCAGGACGCTTTATTCTGCTTCTTTTCATGAGGTAGATTGAACTGGAAACATGATGCTTTCTTCGGTTTCTCTTGATGAGGTAGACTTATTTGAAACCGCGATATTTTCCCCGGTTTCTCTTAAAGAGGTAGAACATTTTGAAACCATGATGTTTTCTCCGGTTTCTTTTAATGAGGTAGATTGATTTGGAACCACGATGTTTCATCCGGTTTCTCTTAATGAGGTAGACTGACTTGGAACCATTATGTTTTCTCTCGTAATGAGGTAGAACATTTTGGAACCACGACGTTTCATCCGGTTTCTCCTAATGAGGTAGAACATTTTGGAACCACGACGTTTCATCCGGTTTCTCCTAATGAGGTAGAACATTTTGGAACCACGACGTTTCATCCGGTTTCTCCTAATGAGGTAGAACATTTTGGAACCACGACGTTTCATCTGGTTTCTCCTAATGAGGTAGAACATTTTGGAACCACGACGTTTCATCCGGTTTCTCCTAATGAGGTAGAACATTTTGGAACCACGACGTTTCATCCGGTTTCTCCTAATGAGGTAGAACATTTTGGAACCACGACGTTTCATCCGGTTTCTCTTGATGAGGTAGACTGACTTGGAACCATTATGTTTTCTCTCGTAATGAGGTAGAACATTTTGGAACCACGACGTTTCATCCGGTTTCTCTTAATGAGGTAGAACATTTTGGAACCACAACGTTTCATCCGGTTTCTCCTAATGAGGTAGAACATTTTGGAACCACGACGTTTCATCCGGTTTCTCCTAATGAGGTAGAACATTTTGGAACCACGACGTTTCATCCGGTTTCTCCTAATGAGGTAGAACATTTTGGAACCGACGTTTCATCCGGTTTCTCCTAATGAGGTAGAACATTTTGGAACCACTACGTTTCATCCGGTTTCTCCTAATGAGGTAGAACATTTTGGAACCACGACGTTTCATCCGGTTTCTCCTAATGAGGTAGAACATTTTGGAACCACGACGTTTCATCCGGTTTCTCCTAATGAGGTAGAACATTTTGGAACCACGACGTTTCATCCGGTTTCTCCTAATGAGGTAGAACATTTTGGAACCACGACGTTTCATCCGGTTTCTCGTAATGAGGTAGAACATTTTGGAACCACGACGTTTCATCCGGTTTCTCTTAATGAGGTAGAACATTTTGGAACCACAACGTTTCATCCGGTTTCTCCTAATGAGGTAGAACATTTTGGAACCACAACGTTTCATCCGGTTTCTCCTAATGAGGTAGAACATTTTGGAACCACGACGTTTCATCCGGTTTCTCCTAATGAGGTAGAACATTTTGGAACCACGACGTTTCATCCGGTTTCTCTTGATGAGGTAGACTGACTTGGAACCATTATGTTTTCTCTCGTAATGAGGTAGAATATTTTGGAACCACGACGTTTCATCCGGTTTCTCTTGATGAGGTAGACTGATTTGGAACCATTATGTTTTCTCCGGTTTCTCATAATAATCATGATCCTCTTCCTTAATCAGGTAGACCGATCCTAATCATCAAATCGAGACATTGTACATTCTTTGATTTCTCTTCATAAGCTAGATCGATCAGGAACGTGATTCTTTCAGTAACTTCACTTAATGCAAGAAATCGATGTAGATCATGATTTCTTATGGTTTCTCTTAACGAGGTAGATCAATTTCGAACATGATTCTTTCTCCTGATTCTTTTAACGATGTAGACAGATGCCAGTAGATTATTTACTGTAGTTTCTCAAATGAGAAGGCTCTACCTATCCGTCCATCTTGAAAATCGACATTTGATCATGCATTCTATTAGCCTGGTTAAATTAATACAGAAACGGGCAAACTGGTTACGATAGGTGTTGAAAAACTCTGTTACCCCATTCATGAACATGAATAAGTGCTAAGTGTCTACCTTCAAAATTAGTATTAAAAGTGTTATTTTGTTAACTTTTTTTTTTTTACCTGAGAAGGATTAATTATCGTTGGTGCCTGTTTGAAATATGAAACAGAATGATCATTATGTGGGTCCAAATGCCGGGCGCTCAGCGTTTTTGTGTCGACCGCTGCGGGAAGGGAATACTTTTTTTTTCTCTGTAGACACAAACGCCATATTCAAGGGCACTGTTATTAAATCTTTGTGAAAAAATGTTTCTCTCTTATACTTTATGATGCTTTCCTTTGACTCGTAGAATATTGGAACA